AGAAGTCTGCCACGCCGTGTGGGTCACCTCTGGGGCAGGGATCGAACTTACGTTGAAGTTGCTTTAGCTTCTTAGTGTTGTGTTTTAACCTGCTGTGCCACCAGGGAGGGCACTCTACGTTGATTTTAACATATATTCACTTGCTAGTCTATACACTTAATGCTTGCCTCTAATGCATCCACAATATTGCTTTCCTCCCTGATGAGTTTGGTCAGCGCTATCTGGATGTCTTTTTCATAGCCCTTTAGCAGATATCCCACAGATTTTTCCACATCATGTGTAAGAATGCCTTCATCTAGTATACATTTTTTAAAAAGATTTATTTATGTATGCGTACAGAATTGTGGTACAGACCAGAGATGCAAGGGCAGTGAGAGGATTCACCAGAGAGAGTGGGGAGCAGAACAGGCAGATTGGTGAAGTATGCTGCTGAGGGGAGCAGCAGGCAGGTCAGGAGAGGTCTGCCGCACCATGTGGGTCGCCGCGGAGGCAGGCGGGAAATCAAACTCATGTGGAAGTGGCTTGAGCTTTAGTGCTGTGCTTTATCCCGCTGCACCACTAGGGAGCGCCCATCTAGTATACATTTCACTATTGACCAGGTTCTCCCAGAATATTTTGGAACAGTTAGACCAAACTGTGTCTTAAAACTCATGTTGAAGTCTTAAGCCCTAATGCTTCAGAATCTAATTTTTGGACATAGGTTCTTTAAAGAAGTAAGTAACTTAAAATGAGGTCACTGGGGTGAGTCCCAAACAATATGACTGATATTTTCATCAGTGGCAGTGTGGACACAGACACAGAGGAACAACCACGTGAAGACAGAGAAGCGGCCATCTACAAGTCACAGAGAGATGTCTGGAACACAGCTTTCTCCTATGGGCCTCAAAGGAATCAGCTCTGCCAATATTACTGATTGTGGATTTCTAGCCTCCAGAAATGTAAAAAAATACATTTCTATTTCCTAAGTTATCTGGTCTATGGTACTTTGTTAAAGCAGCCCTAGCAAGTAACAGAGACATATTCCTGTTAGAGTGGGTATATGAGTCTAAAGCAATCCTTAATCAACAAGTTTTCCCCTCCCAGGCTACCTGCCATTCGCTTTCTTTCCACCTGCTCTGATTCACCCTCCTCATGATAATCCCATCTAACTCATATGGGTCTCTTATTCGCCATCTCTGTTTTGTCCATTTTCACCTGTTTCAAAGCACTCCTCAGGACTCATTTCTCTTACATACTTCTAAACAAAAATTTTGTGGAAGCTTATTCTAAATTATTCCAAACCTCTGTCCCTAAACAAGACACATAAATATATATGCTTCACACAGTTCCATCTCGAGAACACGTAATTAAGGAAGATCACTTTTCCTCATGCTTTCAAGCCCTCCAGATTTCAGTTACCGTAGCTTCATAGCTTCTAAGCAATCTGGTCTTTCTCCCCATGCCACCCCAACTATTCACTAACAAGTCACAGTTTTAAGGCTCACCCACAAGCCAGCCCTAAAGGCAGGAGTAGAGGCAGTCCCAGTAGGGCTTCAGAGGGGCTCAGGAGCCTCCATCCAAAATGCTTCTGCCACTAACCTGTTTTGCAAACCATCCCAGGCCAGGTAGGTTCACCATTGGCTCGGGCAGCTTAATAGGGAAATTTGGAGTCCTCGACATCATCCCCACAGGTTTTTTTTTTACTAGTATACAGGGGAAACAAGCCAGCAGCAACACAGAAACTTGGGCCCCCTGCAAATCTTTATATGCTCTTTCCTCTGGGTTTTCTCTGATATTCTTTCCCTCTAGTGGCCAACACTCTCCTCTATTTGCTCAGCCAACTCTGAGTGAATGACACCACCCTTAAATCTTCAGCCTTCAGGCTCAGGTGTGTACTATGCATGCCCACACCATCCTCCAGGTGTCCACCATCAGGTGCCCGGACCCTGAGCCCTCACTCACAAGCACCTCCTGCATTTAAGGTCACAGGTGATAGCCACAGAGGCCAGTGGCATAAAGCCTGACCATCTTCTATACCTGCCAAATTCCCTAAAATTCATCCATCAAAATTCATTTCCCCTGGCTTAAATTATAGGGCTCAAGGAGGTTTCAGTTAAACTACCTCCAGTAAGTCACCACCAGCTATGGGTGCCATGGCTAGAACTAGTATGCAACTGTTTACACATAAGCTAACAAGGGGCCACAGAATGAGATCCAAATGGGAGGATGGAGGGCGGAGGATCGGGTGCAGAACATGGAGCAAGGCTGGCCAGGCTCCTTTCTAGCACTTGGGGGCATGGCAGGAGGAACAGAAAGTCCCCAAGACAGGAAAGCAGCAGCATGAGCTACATCCCAGCCTAGGGTGCAAAATGCTTCAGGAGTAACATCTCATATTTGTAAAAGTGTTAAGAATTTACAAAACCCCACATAACTCTAACCATCAACTCATCTGGCTCAAACTACAATAAAAAAGCAGCAGAAGACCTACCCCTCCTCCACACTAAGGTCAAGGATTCTGAAGCCCAGCCAACAGACTAGTTAACAATAAAGCTGCATGTCCTCGAACTCCTGGTCCAGCTCTTAGTTATGGTGAAGCATTTCCACCTGAGGACACACAAATCAAAAAGAGATCTGAACCCTGAGAATGACTTGTTGAATCTTGTACCAGATACCTGACTCTCTCTGAGACTCAGTTTCTCTTCTGTAAAATGGGATGTTATAAAGAGCTGACAAATGCACATAAACCGCTTAGCACAGAACCTGGCATACAGAACACACCCAGCAAAAAACCTGTTCTCATTACTAGTGTATCAGGACAGAGTTCTCTCCCTGCCACCTGTTAGACTCTTCCTGAGGAACTGCCTCCCCACCTCACCATACTGCTACCCAGGCCTGTCAACAGACTACATGATTCTGCAAGACAAAGTATGTGGGCTTGACACTTTCTTTTCTCTCTTCTCTTCCATTTTAATTTTGTTAAGTCTCTTAAGTGACCATGATGCAAAGTGTCATAATCAAGAACAAATGACTTAAGGGCCTCCCCAATGGCACAGGGATTAAAGTCTCAGCACTATGAAGCTATCCGCAGCCACTCTGGCCAGGGAGCTGACCCACATGGCACAGCAGACCTTTCCTGTGGTACAGCAGACCTTTCCTGTCCTATCCCTTGCTCCCCTCAGCAGTGTATTTCAGTAGATTTCCCTTTTCTGCTTCCTACTCTGTGGTGAATCCTCTCACCACCACCTCCCCACCTCTGGCCTACATCCCAGTATGCATAAATAAATACATCTTATTTTTTTAAAAAAAAGAACAAATAAAGCAGGATTCCTCAAACTGCAACATGCATTCAGAGCACCTGAAGATCTTGTTAACATGCAGACTTGGATTCAGTAATCTGAGGTGGAGTCTCAGACTTTGCATTTCTCACACCTCTCAGCGGACACCAGCGCTGATCACGTACATGTCCCACTTTAAGTCACAGGATACAAAGATTTCACATCACAGAAAAGGATGACAAGCAAGAGGGGACCAAAAACTGCAAAACCCAGTGCATAGGATGAACTCATCAAATTACGTAATACAGAGCAGTAAACAGCCAGACACACAGCCTCATATCAAATGGTAACCGCTGTTCACTTCCACCACTACAAAGTAGAAGCCTGGGAGTGCTTTCTTCTCCTCCTTCACCCTGGGGCTTTACCTAGTCGCTACCCCCCTCATTCCCCCACTGGCTGTATTCAATTTCTGGACCAAAGGAGCTCTTCCTTCAAAGTGAAGGCCCTTCTTGACAGACGGTACTTACTTTTCTCCTTGGAGCCGTGAGCTCGCCTGTTCTTTTTCACCAGCCTGAGGTCACCCCTCTGCCCACTCACGTCAGGCCTGTCCACAGGACTGCTACCCCGAAGAAACACCCAGCACCACAGCACGTAGCCCCATTGCAGGCTTCTGATTTGTTTACAAACCCTGCCCAGGACACAACTCCTTACTCAGCAACTCCCTGTAAATAAAATTTTATCTTGCTTCCTATATTTCACAATTTCTTTCTAAAAATCTTGAGTCACATGCTCCTAGGAAGAAGGAACAACAGCAAGCCGCTAACCTCTCAGTCTGACTGGAGGGCAGGTTTTCAATCCTGGTTGAAATCAGAATCACCTGCGACTGCCCTCCTTACCTTACCTCATCTCATTTCATCTCACCCCTCCCCACCCCACCCCGTCCCACCCACACCTATTTAACTGACTCAGGTAGCCTGGTAATGAGTGGTCAAGGGTCAAAGACCACTGCCCTTGGGGTGCTATCTTATTCCTCACCAGGAACTAGGCAGAAAGAAACAGTTCTCCACAATGAAAGCACCATCCTTAGAGGTGAAGGGAGAGTAGCGAGTTTCTAAGCTCATTTCCTCCTGTGACAGTCCCCATAATGAAGTTAAGGAAGTTCTAGAAGCTAGAGGGAAGGCTAATTCTAAAGACAAAACAATTTATGGTTCATTGACCTTAATCCTAGAAAGCCAGATCACTGTACTGGCTCTTCCAATAGAGCTGTTTAAACAAAGCAGCTATCAGCTCTGTGGAATGTGATTCCCTTGCTAGCAAAGAATGGGGAGCAGAACCCCACTGCACTCCTCTATCTTATGTCCTTCTGGAGCACATACTTTCAACATGCCACTGAGACAAAACAAAGCAAAACAAAATAATTAACTTCATTTTCCCCATACATATAAGTACATTATTTAAGAGGCATTTAAAGGACAGCCCACACAGTAGAGGGCAACCCAATACAAAGAAACATTCTGACTTCAGCTGTAGTCTATCTAAATGTTCTCCCCTACCCCAAGACGAGATTCAGCTGACCATATCTAGCTTACTAAATTTAGAAAATTAAGGTGACAGAAAATTAGTCAAATACTATACATGAACAGAATATATTTTACTAAAGAAATCAAGTTATTTAGGAAATAGCTGGAATCTCTGCAAAAAAAATCTTCACCCACCATATGACCCCTGTGAATGAAAACTTCATACCTGATGAGATCTGGTTCTGCACCCTCGTTCTTAAAGGATGCCAGAAGTAGTCTCTCTCGAGTTACAAGATCATCCAGTAAGTTCTGTCTTCGGTCTCCTTCAAGCTGTGTTCTGCAGACATCTTGTTAAGGTCCAACTGTGAGTGAATTACCCTGTTTTACCCATTACATTACTAATTGAGCTCTTCAAGTCAGTTGTAAATTTTACAGCTGCAATGGCCTTCAACTTCACTTATCATTCAAGTAAATCCTCACAGAGGAGCTTACAAAATCACAAGATCCATCATGAGCAAAAGGCCAGGTAAATACATTCCTTTCAAGGACTAATACTGAAATATTTAGTCCTGTCAATAGAATAATATGATTCAGTGATTCTTTAGCTTTTGAGTGACTGGTGTCAGAGTTCAAGGGTACTTTCCCAGATGATAGTACCTTAAGGTATTCTTGTTAAAAAGAAAAGGAAGATGAGGGAGGTTCTTAATATCTCTCTTTGTTCTACTTTAACATACCTGGAATATATTTTGTAGAGAGCTATGATAGGAAACAGATTTGCTCTAAATATTATTACCAAGAGTTCATTATTTAAACGTTTCATGACCTTAAAGAAAATTAGAAAGAAATATTCACATTTTAGTGTTATTCTTACAGACATGCCAAACGATTCAAATTTTATTTGTCCCATTTTAACCACTATCCATGACCTTGAACCATACATTTCACCTTTATAACTCTGTTTATTTATATATATAACACCCAATAATCCCTAACATCTTTTCCAGCATAATCCATAAATTATGGCTACAAATAATAAATCAGGACTAAATCCTACTTTATATACTAGCTTTCTTGAAGCAAACTACAGGAGTTCTTCTAGACAGCATGTGTGTATGCATATATGTATGTTTCAAAAAACAATGTAAATGTTGATGACAAAAAGGTATAAAGAGAACAGTGGAAGAAACTAACACACTTTTGAATGGACATACTTGATATGAGACAAAAAGTAAGCAGAAAAATAAGCCATGAACTGAGTTTTTTTTAGTGTTTACTATTATAAATTAAATAATTTATAAATTATAATTACAATTATATAGTCATGAATTATGTAATAATTATATGTATAATTATAGAAACATATATAAACATAAGATTTATAAATCTATGACTTATATACAATTTGTTATTTATAATTATTAAATTTATAAGGTATAAATTAAGTATTTACAAATACTATAGCTAAAAAGCCTAGTGAGTCATCTCAGGCCACAACTACTTATTTTTAGTAAAACATTAATGAGACTACTGCTTTGATTTTATAGATACTTTTCTCTTTAAAAAAAGTTATATTAAACAGTTAATAAGGCCCAAAAAATTCTGAGAGATTGGCAGATCAAGTAGTAGCATCACCATTCCCTGGGTGGGAAAACTATGTCCTAGCATAGATTATTTTACTAATTTTGAACAGAAAATTGTGACTAGCTGGTACAATAACAAATAAGAATCATTACAAAATTTCCCCAGTAACAGACAGTAGTTCAAAAAATCCTAAATCCGGCCCTCCCTGGTGGCGCAGCGGGTTAAAGCACTGCACTAAGAAGCTAAAGCCACTTCTACATAAGTTCGATTCCCGCCTGCCCCGGAGGCGACCACATGGCGTGGCAACCTCTCCTGACCCACCCGCTGCTCCCCTCAGCAGTGTACTTCATTGATCTGCCTGTTCTGCTCCCCGCTCTGTCTCTGGTGAATTCTCTCACCCTCCGCATCTCTGGCCTGTAACCCAGTTCTGTACAGATAAATAAATAAATCTTTAAAAAAAAAAAAATCCTAAATCCCCCAAGCCGATGTAGCTAAGCAGTGTTAGTGACTTTGGATATTTAAGAAATATTTATCAATGAATTCTCTCAACATTCCAGAATGCCACATTTTCCAGCATAAATCACTACCACTGCTTTTCCATTTCCTACTTAACTACAGTAACTAAGTAGCGCATCTTGGAAACTATGAAGTGGCAACTGTAACTAAGAAAACAGTGAGCTTAAGTACTTTCTCTGTACTGACAAATGACCCAAACACTGTTCTTTTGATCAATGCAACACCAGGAATAAATACTGATGTCTTTTAAATTAGTGGTAACTTGTCAATAAGGCAGAAAAATTTTCTTCCATCTAGAAGAAATTCCTGAGTGATTAAAAAAAAATTACAAAAGCTATGGCATGAATTTTACAGGACAATATATGAATTTTAAATTGTGGAAACTACTGATTAAATCACCACACTAATTAGTCTTTTCTTACATTCTATGGTTTATCTGTGGTTTTGTTGTTAGTATCTAACCACCCAAACACAGATTTAACTGGCTGTAAGATTTAAACATAAAAAGAAAAATCACAAAGTATCATTAAAAGACATAGGAGAACTTTTTATAATCTTGGGGAAGTCTTTCTAGCAAAATTGAAAACTGAATAGTTATGAAGGAAAAGACAATTCTACCTATATAAAAATTTTAAATATATGCAGGACAAAAAGACAAGCTACAAACTCATTGCAGAAAAAGTTTTAAAAGGCACAAGACAAAGCCGAGCACAGAAAAAAGACAAACCAATAACTAATAAAATGGGAAAACTCTTTAGAGTATAAACCTTATACTTCTATGTTTTTATAATTATACATAGAATTGTTACATAATTTATGACTATATAATTATAACTATTATTTATAAATTATTTAATTTATAATAGTGAATATTAAAAATAAACTCAGTTCAGGGGCTTATTTTTCTGCTTACTTTTTTTCTCAAGTCAAGTATGAGAAATGCAAATTGAAACATGATGTCATCTTCACCTACCCTATCAGATTAGGAAACGGAGACAAGGCAGGTTAGGAAAGGAACAGGAACAAAAGTACTCTCAGACATCCTTGGTTGGAATGTAAATAGGCTCAACCAACTGCTAGATTGACTTCTAAAGATTTATCAAAATTTAAAAGGCACAATCTTTCAACAGGAATTTCTCCTGCAGACATATTCACACACCTACACAAATATAGGAACAAAGATGCTCGCTGCAGCATGACTTATAACATCCATACTGGGACACCCTAAAGTCCATCAATAAGGAACTTAATCCACTCCATAATAGAACAATTGATAGCCTGAAAAAAAAAATTTAAAAAAAACTAGGGAGAGCTCTTCATGTACTGATGAAGTAATAATTGTATGACCATGAAATAATATTGATATATTGTAGCACTGCATAGTGCACTTACTGTATAGAGGTTGTTGGTACAAGAGGCCAAAGTGTCATCTAGGCAACAATCTCCACTGCATGAAAATGAACTTAAGGCTTGAGGGGAGGGGAGGGCAGGGTGGCGGTGGGTTAGAGGCAGTAAGTGGCTGGCAGGGGAAAGGGGAAGAAGGGTAAGTAGAAAATCAGGTGCACAGTCAAAGGTAAATTCTGGTACTTCCTCTCCCATCAACTTGGTGAATAACCAAAGAAGGTCAGAGAACAGACAAACAAGGAAAACAAAGATCTACCCTAGTATTTTGTCACTGGTGAGCCAATCTGACCTATCATTATTCCATTTCATGGAAATATCTGGTAGCAGTGAATTTAGATCCTAACTTCATATTGCCAAGGTGTTTAAGCCTAGCCTGCCTGCAGTGACCTGGTAAACACTCTGAGAAGATGGTGTAGCTTAAAGATGACTCTACCCCTGTATGAGGCCCACCCCCAATCTAACTCCTAAATTTTCTCTTTTTTGGTAAAAGGCTCAATAATTTGGGTGGGTATTACTTATGAATTAACTGTTCTAGAGCAGGAAGAAGCTTGTAGATGACTTTGTGTTTGTGGTGTGTCATCACTGAAGAACAGCAAGTACACAGTTGAAATTCTTAAAAATCAGGAGATTTTTCTGGCTCACCTAACATTTAACTTTTTTTGTTGTTGTTAAGATTTTATTTTTATTTGTGCATACAGAACTGGGGCACAGGCCAGAGGCTCAGGGGCGGCGAGAGGCTTCACCAGAGACAGAGTGGGGAACAGAACAGGCAGATCTACGAAGTACACTGCTGAGGGGAGCAGCGGGCGTGTCAGGAGAGGTCTGCCACGCCATGTGGTCACCTCCAGGGCAGGCGGGAATCAAACTCATGCGGAAGTGGCTTTAGCTTCTTAGTGCTGTGCTTTAACCCACTGTGCCACCAGGGAGGGCCAACTTTTTTTTTTTTAAGTTAACAAACTCTAATGGACATCTATTAAGAAGCAGGTCAGGTCCTTCTTCAAAAGCAATGATCACATTTTAACTACTATTTAATTTTATTTTAAAGATTTATTTTATTTATGTATACAAGAGCTGGGTTATAGGCCAGAGGTGTCAGGGTGGGGTGGGTTAGGGGTGGGGGGCAGTGGAGAGGATTCACCAGAAACAGAGTAGGAAGCAGAATAGGTGGATCTACTAAATACACTGCTGAGGGCAGCAGCAGGTGAGACATGAGAGGTCTGCTGTGGCATGTGGGTCAGCTCCCTGGCTGGGGATCTAACTCAAGCTGCAGTGACTGCCCACAGCTTCATAGTGCTGAGATTTAACCCCTTAACCACTGACTACAAACTCTCTAAGGAAGTTTGTAAATTCTCCATGTAACATTCTACAACATGTTTAATTAGAAGTAGCTGCTAATTTTCAAGGAGGGCTCACTGTATGCAAAGTGTCTTTCACACATATAGTTTAATCCCCACAACAACCCTTACAAGCCAAGTACATTTTTATTATCTCTAACTCATAGTGAAAGGAACAAGGCAGTTCTTCTCAAGTTAAATAACTTGCCCAAGGTGACACGGCAAGTATTGATAACTTTTATTTAATACACACCATTATGGGGATCTAGTCCTATATATAAATATATTTTCTCCAATCTTTGCAAATGTTACAAAGTAAGTATAATTATTCTACTCCATAAATAATGACTAAGGCCCAGAAGGACTAAACTTTGAGCCCTGAGGAAGCAGCCTCAGCTTAGTTCTGTCTGGTTCTAAGGTCAGTGTTGTTGCCGCCATACTAAGGGGTCCAGAATTTTGGGTAGTATGGAGCAGAACTACTTTTAAACAAATTGGGGAGGGGTGGGTGGGAAACCTATGTAAGTCATCAACTATATAGTATTAAAGAAAAGACAAAGCTACCATCTACTTTTATTATCATGGTAGAAAAACAAGGATATTTTAACACCAAAAACTAGAAAGAACATTTCTACCAACATAAAGACTATTGTGTCTTTATTTTTCTCTCAATATTTGGTGCTCATGTAAACTACCATAGACAGGCATGGTGCTGAGAACCAATTCATCTCTACTGAAGCCATGAGGGGCAGCCCTAAATGCACAGTTAGCATTTCTATACCTGCATTCACTTGGGTCTTTTGTACAGAGATTGCTGCATCTATCCAATGACTTGTCTAGCCACATGTTATTTTTAGCCCCAATATAAAGTGGAGAAAAGTTACTTACAGATTTTCCAAAAAAATATTTCTACAAGACTTCTCCCAAAGTACCAAAATACGCCTAAAGAACCATGTAAAGAGATGTTTAATTCTCTTTATAGTAGTATAGTAAAACCAATCACTGCCTTTGAAAGCTAAAAGGGAAGTTTCACATAAAGTCAATTCTAAGAGTAATTCTGGTGCTGCCTGAAATTTCACATGGGTCTCCTGTAGCACACAACTTTTCTCAACTGGTAAGTAGTTACATTCCTGTCTGTCTCTGAGCAAGCACTGTGAATAGAAGTTTATGGTTTTCAGCAATTTTCAAACTCTCTGGCTGCAGGATTTGGGCTTATACATTGAAAACTAATTCAAAGGCAGCGATCTTTCATTTTAATTTCATCTATTCTTAACAAAAGAAAAAAAAATTCAGCAAAGAGCAGTAACGTCTTACGCCTAAACTCCATGAATTTAATTGTTTAAAAGGTATTTTAGAGGACTTATCTTTCTGGCCACAACTCGTGTTCTTTGGAAACTTCACAAATGCAGAAAGGCATAAATTTATTAAGAACAGCACCATAAACTCTCAACTAACAGACACACTAAGGAAATGTGGTTTTCAAATGTTCACATTAAAAAAGTCACCCAATATTAATTATGTCTAAAAAGGGATTAAAAAGTCTACTGGCAATTTATGGACAAAAATATTTCTAAGAATTACAACACCATAAAGTATATCTAATAAACCACAATGAACATGTTTAATCTTTCTGATGATTAAGAAGATTCTTGAGGATTTGAATTATAAACAGGATTTGTCTTGGCACTCAGTAACATGCCAATTAATAGAGAATTCTAGTTGAAGACATGCCAGATGACAGTTGACTGGTTTATTTCTACTAAAGCAGAGTCAGTCTTTAAACAACGGCTTTGGGGCCAGACAGCCCAGCCTTTGAATCCTACCTCATTTCCCAGCTGTGCCGTCCAGAAGTTACTTAAGCCCTCAAAGACTGCTCTCCTCAGTATGAAAAATTCGTCTGCTAGAGTGTTGGGTTCCCTTTTCAGCTTCAACAGTGACTTGAATCAGCCTCAATACCTTGTTTATAAAAAAGGGAAAGAACCACCAAAACAAACTAGTAATTTGGGATCACCAATTAATGACAAATTTCTCTTATAATCTCCAATCTGAAGGATAACTGCCACAGAATTATTAAGAATGTTTGGAGAAGGGTAGATGCAGAGAACAGAATTACAAAGAGGCCTTCCTAATATAAAAGCTACCTCCTTCTTTCCATTGTAAAAAGAAATGGTCTCCCCTAAAAGACACAGGTTTATGAGCACTCTCATGAGGTAGATTCTATGAAATCCACTCTTAGTACTAGAAGTAGTTCCAGAAGAAATAGATCCAATTACTTGGGAAAAAAATACAATTTGAAAGAAAGTTGTTCTATTCCAGTTCAGTTTTTTGTATCTCCTAGGAAATTCCAAATTATCCACATTAGAGTCCTTAGATATTTTCACTGTGTATTTAATAGCTCTAGTATTTTTAAATGCCTTGAGCTTAATTCAGCAATTTCTAAGAGCAACACAAAAGCAAAGTCTGTAAGATTTCAAAAGGCGGCCAAACTGAAAGTATTTGGAAGAATAGTCAATTATTATGATGACATGATTAGGACTCCACAATAACTAGCATTAATAAAAAGAAAAGTTCTTAATTTGTATTTTTCTTATCCTTTAAGTTTAAATATTTGAATATGAATTGCAATTAGTTACCTTAATGGAAGTTAGCATTTGCATAGTTAATGTTATATCACAAAGCAAGGTATTTTTCTAATGTATGAACTTTAGGTAATAATTTTGCATATCTTGCCCTCATGCACAGACTTTCTCACACTAAAACTAACTGATTTAGGGCCTGTGGAATTATATAAAATAAAGTAGCTCTTTATATAGTAGATTCACTGTCAGGAACCAAACCATTCCAAGTACAGTGCAAAGTTACAAGTTAGATGTTATCTAATTGTGTTTGAAAAAAAAAAAAAAGACCCCAATTATTTATTGAGATTAAACTTTTATTTGAAATCTAAGTGGGCTAGGCTTTTGAGTATCTGCAAAGTCATGCAACTACTCTAAATTATGGCAACACCGTCCTGCTAACATGAAGGCACCACACCTGGAAAAAAATCAGTTTAAAACACCTATTATTTTATCTAAAAAGTCATATTCCTACATTCCCCCACATTTTTAAATTGGGCAGTAACAACCATTTCCTGCAACACCAAACTTTTGAATCTAATGTGGACTACTGCCATTTTAAAGAAATGATGAGAAAAGCCCAGTTCAAAGTCAATTTTCAAATTACTATCAACTCAAGTTTAAGCAATTAACTAACAGGTAACAAGATATATGTATTTTCCAGATTATGAATTACATAGTTGACCAGATTATGAATTTCTTAAAAAAGAAAGTGTTTCAATACTTGACAATGTTGGTGGCATGTACAGATAACATTACAACTTGTTTGAAGCAAGTGTTCTACCTGCACTCCAAAATTCCCAAACTATAGAAGTATCTGTACTAAAGAATGGAGCAAACAAGTCACATCTCAATAATCTCACATTAGACTCAAAGTTTGGTGTTGCACGAAATGGTTGTTATTGCCCAATTTTAAAAGATGGGGAAATGTAGGAATACCACTTTTTAGAAAAAATTATAGAAAGTGTCTTAACAAGAAGAACAAAAAGACGTATGGTTTTCTACCAGTAGTAATGGCCTCTCAGAAAAGAAAATGGATCTTTCAAAACTAGAAACTCTGGAAGCAGAACCAGAGCATACCATGGATGCTGGCCTACAGAGCAGTGGCTCACCATCTCTGAGGCAGCCTGCACAGGTGGCAGTGGTGGCACTGGGCAACTACTGTCCTGCCAGGGGCACCAGCTTCCTGCACTATAAAGGTCACACCAAATAAGTTAATTCTTTCAGTATGTCTTGCTTTGCCAGCATATTCACTGTAAAACAAGAAACAGACACTTAAAATAGAAATCAAGATTATAGGCAATATTTTGGAAACCAGGTCTTCCTCAAGCTGTGGAAAAATCTGGGTGGCCTAGATTCCTTCATTTCTTAAAATAAGACTGCTTTTCCTCCCACTCTAAGACAGAGGTGGAAATGTTTACATGGATACATCTGATGTGTTGACACAGCTCTTAGCAATAAGTCCTTCAAAAGGGCGATCTTTTCCTTCAGATTCTGCAACAAAGCTCTGATTGTCACGGTAAGCTGAAAAGAAAAAAACACATCCTAAGTATGCTGTCCAGAAGTATAGGATCTACTAAAAATGCTACATAAATGATGCTTACCATTCCATGATTTTGTCGAGAAAGCACTGGAAGTGTCACTAAGCCTCCTAATGACATCCACAGAGTTGTAAGGAGTTTTAATGATCATCTGGTCCAGGTACCTCCCTAATGTTAGTAACTAGTATACAACCTGACCAGGTGATAAATCAGTCCACACCTAAGTACTCAGATTGACAAGACACTCTCACTTTGTCTTCAAAATCAGTTAAATTCTATTCCCTGAGTGTCTACCTTCTGATCCCACTTGTCTACCTTGAAGCCATGCAGGAATTCCTGTTCCCCAGTATTTGTTCTCCAATGAAAACCCTACAAAGATTCCCCACTGCAAACAAGACATCAAATCTCACCGCCATTCCTGCTGGTCTTCTCTAAAAGCGCCATCTAACTTTAGCCTATCTAATAGTTGTTCAGGAATATGTTTTATATACACAAACAATGTTAGCCACACAGAACAATTTTTTCCAGGTGTGTACGGATTTGCTCCAATCATTCTGCAACCTGGAGAAAATTTTCATTTGTGACTCTAAATGCCAACGTAAAGGATGAAGGGAGAGTACTAAGAGAGAGTCTCAAAAAATCAGAAATATGAAAAGTAAAATTATCCAAGTAAATTGAACACTGTCGACCACAAATAAAATCAGATGTATTAAAGAAAAAGACTATCAGAGGTTTCACTTGCTACTTATTAAAAGTAGCAATTATACAACTGCAGGGCAAGTAGAACTCCCTCTAGATTAGCAGGATCATGCTAAAGAAAAACAAGAGAATGTCAGAGGCTAACCAAGGCCTACACACCTCAAGCAACCCTCCAAGGTATCCACGGCCAAGAAGTCTAACCTCAACTATTCTAATACCTCTGGGAACCATGGGAAAACCACCCACAATGTTTACGGTGAAATGCCAAGGAAAGCAGACCTTTCCTCATTCAAGAAAAAAGAGCAAAACAACAGGAAAAGCACCACACATGCACGCACGCACACAGGGCCCCAAGCCTCAGGAGAATCTACAGACCAAAACCATTCAGCAGAATGTGTAGCCATCAAAAAGTATGACTGAAATCTAAATTTCATAATTTATAATTTATAAAAAGAAAGAAATTAAGTCATAAAATGACATATAGCCCACACAGGGGAAAAAAAATTCTAGGAATTAATATATCAAAATGCCAAGGGTAGTTATCTCTATGTAGTGGGATTTCTTTTATAAGGGCAGGATTACTTTAATAATCAGGGGAAAATTCCCTTTATTGTAATTTAACAGATGCTCCTCAAAGCACAGTAAAAGATGGAAAACCTAATCATATTTTAAGGTAATACAACCATAGTAACAAGTACTGACAGAGATAAAGAAAATAAATGTGCCAATTTCCCCTAAGGATTATAAGCGTAAACATCTTCTAGTGGTATTAGTAAAATCAGAATTACATTAAAAAAGTCTACTAATATATCAGCAATTAGTAGACTTTGTCCTAGTAATTAAAAAGTAGTTTGAAGTTAAAATAATAATAAATTTAACAGCATTAATGATCAAAAATAAACATGATTAATATATCATGGGGAAATAACTAAAATAAAGAGAGAAAATTAAGAATGAAAACGTGCTGCCTTAAATGCAACACTATGTAACTTTGGACTTTAAGTTCTAACCAATGCAGTAAGACAAGTTAAATATGTTGATACAAGGACTAAGAAGAAGATGAAATTATTATTTACCAATTGATAATAATCAATTTGGGACAGTTAAGAGAATTAATTGTAAGATTACCAGAAACAAAAAAATATAGTATGGTTAAAAAAATTCAGTATGGTGATGAATCATAAAATGAAAAATTCAAGGACAGTCCTAAGTTTTAAGTAACAGCTAGGAAAAAGTTTTCTAAATTATTACTTTTAAATGTCATTAGTAATATCAACAAAATTTATGCAATTACACAATAACTTCAGGAAATATTGCTGAATGAGGAAAAGAAAAATGCTCAATATTATAAAAGTATGAATGTTCCCCAGTTTAGTCTATACTACATACTTATTCAAAGGTTGAGTAATTTATACTATGTACTTATTCAAAAGTACTCTTTCATTAGAGAGTAGGAATTGAGCTATAGGACAAAATATTTTTAAATAAAGCTATACAAAATACACTAAATGAAGAAAAAAATAGAAAAATCAGAAATATAAGTAATGAAGGGGATCTTAAACAATAAGATGTGGAATCTACATTAAAGTCTTCAAGAGTGTGATGGTAGAAGTTACTAGCAGCCCTATTAGTGCAGCAGAACAGAGGGTTTAGAAAGAGTATAACTGTATAAAATTCAGTGAATAAAACATGAGATATTTCATACCTTGGGGGCAAGGGAATTAATAATTTAGCAACCAGGAAAAACTCAGTTGCCTACAACAGACCAGTATAAGCTCCAAATATCTTAAGGAGTTCTACGTGATTTTTTAAAATTAAAACTGAAGAAAAACTTAAGTAAAATTTAGAAAATTAGATAAAATATCTATATAATCTCTGGGGCTAAAGTGTCTGTAAACATCATCTCTCCTTACCCCATACATAAAAAAAGACAAAAATGCTAATAATTTCAAATAAAAATTTTTAAAACATACATATGTTTTTAAAATGTCATTTATAAAATCAAAAGTCAAATAGAAAAAATTTTGTATCACAGATGCCAGATGAAGGCTTCATATACTTAACAGAAAGAGCACTTTGAAATTAGAAAATATGTCAGACTATGGACAAACACTTATGCAGGCAATTCATAAAGAAATAAATACAAACAATAAATATGTGAAAAGATATTCAGTAGTATAATAAAATATGCTTACTAAACTATTCTATATCTTCACCTAACAGAGTTAAAAAAATTTCTTTAAGATAATCAGAATTAGTGTAGACATGTAATGCTGATATATATCTAGCTTACAATGTGATATAACTTAAAGTCTACATTGACTTGGGCAATAATTTAGTAAAATTGAAACTTCTTTTATAATTAGAAATAATCTAACTGTCCAAGATGGCAATTGTGGTTAAAAAATCAGAGATCTAAATATAAAAAATAAAACCATGCATTTTCTAGAAAGATATAGGAATTAATCCCTTTGTAGCCTGGAAATAGTGAAAATACAAGTGCAATTAAAGATTGATAGCCAATTTCATTAAGGGAAAAAAAAAAACCTCATATGGGGCCCTCCCAGGTGGCAGAGCCGGTTAAAGCACAGCACTAGGAAGCTAAAGCCACTTCAGCTGAATTCGATCCCTGCCCCCGAGGTGACCCACATGGTGCAACAGACCTCTCCTGACCCTCCCGCTGCTCCTCTTAGCAGTGTCCTTCATCGATCTGCCTATACTGCTCCCCACTCTGTCTCTGGTGAATCTTCTCACTGCCCCTGAACCTCTGGCCTGCACCCCAGTACTGTATGCATAAGTAAATAAATCTTTTTTAAAATTATTTTTAAAAAAACTCATATGGCTACAAATACCATATGCAAAGTTTAAGAACAATGAAGGAGGAGATGTAATTATAAAATGCCACAAAGAGCATATGGCACTAGTATATTAGGAGTTGATACAGAGTTAAAACAACCAACAACTCAATAGAAAAGGGGCAGAAAACAGAAAGATAGTTCACAGAACAGCTACATAAATTCACTTGTACTTAAGCATATGAAAATATACTCTACTATATGAGAAATGCAAATCTAAAATACACAGAAATATAATACCCCACTTGTAAATTGACAAAAATTCAGCGAAACAGAATTGCTCACACACTATTGGTAGCGTTGCCACAAGGGACAACCCTGTGAAGGAGAATTTGGCAACCAGTCCAAAAATCACATATGCCCTAGTTCTGAGAATTCTTTCTTAAAAGGCACACCCAGAAACAGATGTACTACTATCACTACTTCTACTACTATTTCTACTTTTACTACTACTATGACGAAAACACAAAGTTATGTATAGCAGCACTCTTCACAGCAGCAAAAGAGAAACAATCCAAACATCCATCCTTAGGCAGCAGACTAAATAAACTTGACTTCTACAAAAGAGACTATCATACAGCCCTAAAGAAGAACATTCAAGTGATTAATGAATTTATATGGAGAGCTTAATGAATTCATATTAATTAATGAATGAATTAATGTGAATTAACCTATCCATGTTATATTATTAAATAAAAAAGCATGAAACAAATGAGTATCTTGTCTAAAAGGAAGAGAAATAAGAACACACAGAGATACATATTTCTGAAGAAACCAGAAATTAATTTAAAAGATTTGACCTATAAGAGGAAGGCGAAGAGATGAAAAAGAATGAGAAGGAGGGCCCTCCGTGATGTTGCAATGGACTAAGCCACAACAATATGAAGCTATCAGCAACCACTGCAGCATGAGCTCAGTCCCCAGCCATGGGGTGACCTACATGGCATGCAGACCTCTCCTGTCTCACCCGCTGCTCCCCTCAGCAGTGTACTTTGTCAATCTGCCTGTTCTGCTCCCACTCTGTCGCTAGTGAATCCTTTCACCTCCACCCCCTCATCTCTGGCCTATACCCCAGTTCTATTTGCATAAATAAATATATCTTTAAAAAAAAGAATGAAATGGAAACAAAAATATAACTTTATATTTAATTTTGACTTATGAACAACGTAAATGTTTCACATGTTTAATATTAAATCAGTAAGGTTAAAGAAAAAGACGACTCTCAAAAGAGAAAATAAACAGAAACAAAAGATAAAATAAGAATAGAGTAATCAATTCTAGTAACTTTAGAAGAGAATAATCCCAGTATTCTTGGTGGAATTTTCCAAATAAAATAAAAAAAAAAAGACACAAATTCTAATCTTAGTGTGTGTAAGGGTAACAGTGCAGCATTCTGAAACTAATTTCTATAAACTCCAAGAAAGTCTAAACAAGAAAATACATCAATGCTTTTATAAAGCAGGGTTCTCAGTCAGGGGAGAAACCTGTGGTGTTGGATTTGAATAAAAAATATTCATATGAAATAATGATTTCTCCAAATTTCTATTTCCTAGCCAAACCCTACCACTGTTTTTTATAGTCTGCAAGCTATAAATGTTATTTTGTTTACATTTTTTAAAGGTAAAATTCATATAATAAAAAAGACTTATCTCTTTGGCACAAATGGATACTCAAGAGTGTAGAAAACATTGCCTCTTGTCCTGCAAAGCCATAAAGATTTAACTATCTTGCAGGGGAATGTACCAACACTTGAACTAGACTATAAAATTATTAGAAACTTTTAAGGTTAAATAGGCAAAATTAAATAACATCATACTTCATTTAGTCTCCATTATTAGATAACTATTAACTGAGTCTGTCAATACTGCAGAAGAATTAAGACAATGGGTTCACCTCCTCCACATATTGTTACAATCAAATTATACATAAAGACAAAGGTCACTGATGACTACTGTATACATAAAAGGGATGAGAAAACAGATGGGACAGGAAAGGGTGCAATTTTATCATTTTTTGAAGCATTACCAGGGCAGGCAGTGCAACCCGAGAAGTGGCTGCTGTCAGGAGTCTCCCGGCTATTGATGACTGACCAGGGTGTGTGCTAGGGGCAGCAGGATGGTGCACAGAGCTGGTGTTGCAGGACAAAGAGTTTATCTCTGAGAAACTATGGGAGGAGTGTTGCAGAGACCCAAGGTAGGATGCTAGAGTTATATGCTTATTGAGAGATTAAAGTCTGCAAGCGCAGATGTCATACTAGTAACTAGGCAGCCAGAACAGAGCTGGGGAGTTAAATACCCTGCACTCCTAAATAGGGGAGATTGGGGATCTTGGACAGTCTTGGCAACTGCTAGTGAGGGACTAGAAATATATGAGGTGGGAATTACTGCCTAGTATAACAAGAAGAAATAACATACACATACATGAACCAAATGATGAAACATAAAAGTACATAAAGCGGCCCTCCCTGGTGGC